CAGCCAGCACGTCCAGGTGACGAGTCCTGTCCCCGCCCAGCTCCACGGATCGAATGCATTCGTCCATCGTGTCCAGTATGATCCGACAAATTCCAACTTTTTGCAGTAAAAAATGTGGAAGTCTTTAGAATCATCAACCATAACGGTGCTCCAAATGTCGTTTTGGCGATGGGTAAAGAGCGCCGTGTAAATCAAAGAGGTCGTCATGACGCCCGATTTTCGGGTCGTAAAGTTCATATGATGTTCCGTCAGATTCATTATTTTCATCGTGTACTCGCACAAATTACCGCGATAATCCCAAGTGCAGTCGCCTGAGGATAGCATGTCCAAAGAATGAAAGAGATTCTTATAACCGGAATTACCTGTTCAAAAACAGTTTTTCTTCATTCAAAATGCATTCAATTTGAAAATGAGAAAAAATTATGTATTCATTATTCATTTATTCAAAACTTGAAAATGAGTATTGATGCATTACTCATTTTTTCTTCATTTTACCTAAAATTCGCCTTATTAGACTGATTTCTCAATATACCCAGCGCATTAAGCATAACGGGAAAAATGAATGCAATTTTGCATTCATCCTTCATGAATTTAAAATGAATAAATACCTATTAAATATTTATTGATTCAAAAATTTTGAAAAACTTATTCACCCGTCATTCATTGATTTACTGAATAATGAACGAATAGGTTATTCACTCTGTATCGAATGAATGAATATGAACATGAATAAACATGATTATTACATTTACTGGCAGGGTCCATAATTTTAGGTATTTCAGTTATCACTAGGCCTCGTCCAGGATAACAGTAATTGTACACGACGACTTCAGATTCGGGGGACGTTTTGGAAAACCAAAAGTACATTGATGCGTCAAAACGGTCCAGATAATTCTCCCTGGAATGATTCCATCTGGTTAAACTTGAAATCCAGGCATCCTTTAGTTTCCCGGGTAAGACTGAAATTACTGTCGCGTCGGTGGCGTAACCCGCCTTAGAATCCAACACGTATTGCAAAGTTTCCGGGTTTGGAGGTTCCAAAAGAATGTATACTTTCTGCACGATCGGAGAAGAAGGACGAGGTTGAAGATAACCATGCATTTGAGTGCTAATCATTTTGAATGGCGCGAAAGTTAAAAGTACAAGGTTAGGGGGAGAAGAACGTTTAATGAGACTCTGATAATCGATGAGACGTATTGGGTCGTTAAAGGTTATCAAGACGAGTAAAGACCCTGGAATAAAGGGCAGGTTAAGGTCGTACTTTTCTTGTGACGTTTCAATTACAAGAGTTGTTGCCTCATCTGTGAGACCAAGAACTTGGTATGATTTAGATAAGCTACTTATCAATAGAATGTGGATTATGAGAAGACCCATATTTTTTGTGTCGCTATAGGTTATCTGCATACTTGGTTACGATTATTTACACAAATATTTATGTACAGCAGTAAAGTGAGCTAAGATTAGGATCGTAACTGATTTTCACGTTAATCTGTTCAGGTCAAGACTTCAATTAATTTATGCGAGAAAAGTGGAGATTAAAAAAATATGCCAAATTTTATTTAGAAATATATTTTATGGGAATTCTCGAAAACGAAGCCAAGCTAATTGACGTGTACTTGCCCTTGGCAGAAATCCTTGTGATCATGTACGTCGTCATATTTTTAGGTTGTTCGTATGTATGTAGGTGCAACCCTTTTTATATTGATGAGACAAAAATTATTCGACTAATATGTATTAATGAGATTTTAGCAATTACATATGAATGAATTTTGCAGAACACGCAATTCCATCTTTTCCAATTTTTCTTGATATTTAATACCTTATTGTAAATATATCGAAAAATATTTAGTTTTTCGATGTAATTGTAGGCTTTGAATTTAATTAGTAATACTAAAATCCACGTATAAAAGAATCTAGAAAATTTCACATTTCATGGCTAACCTATTTTTGGTGTAAATTTAAAAAAAAATAAAAAATCTACCTGGCAAGACTTTCCTACTTACATATTTGGTACATATATATAAAAAGCCACGTCAGAACGAAGTATGTATTTATTTAGGCAAGAGAGCATTCTTTTCATGCATAGTTTATTTCCAAATTGGCAAACGATACGTATATACATACTCTGCGAACCTTGTAATGGAATACAAGTTTGCCTGGATATGAGATTTTACATAAAGTCCAACGGAACCGACAGGAGACAGCTAAAAATTCAAGAATCTAACAACTGCCCACATTTACCACGTGTAATGAAATGTGAAATACGAAATGCAAAATGTTATCCGTAAAATTTCGTGTGAATGTACGCTAACATACAAATTTATTCACATAAACTTATATAAGTAAATATGTACAAGCAATACATATGTGCTGGCACAAATCATACACTTGAAATTTCTAGACACTTAAAGCACTTTACAGTAATTTTCGAGCTAATGTTTAATAGTTAGCACGCCCATGTCCTTATCAAGCTAAAAAATATATGTAATTAGACACACTAAACTCATCATTAAGTATTTATCTCAGCTCCTGTTTAGGATGATAATGTTGAGTAGCTGCTCAAAAATATTGATTTTTACACCTTTCCACCGCTCTCTCCGGTTGTCACCTCCTTCCAAAAGCACCAGACGACGAAGGCGCAGTACATGTCGAAGAAAATGGTCAGCGCCGTGACGATCAGGCCAGAAACGCCCCCCGACCTTACGCGGATGCAGTCGTGGATGAATCTCACAAACAGCATGACGACCACGATGCCCCTCACAAAGAACCAGATGAACAGGATGTGTCGTTGTTTCTGGAAATGTTTACATGTTAGATAAATGATTTTCATGAAAAGGATTTTAGTCAGAGACACTTGGTGAAAAATATTTGCAATAATGGGGAAATTGTTTACAAGTTGGCATGTTCGAATTGCGAAATATGTATTTTTATAAAATTTGGGAGCTAAATAAATGCTATGCATGTAGCCTAGGAGAAATTTTGCAAATAAATTTTCACGTCAATTTTTTTTTCGAATTCGTTTTTTTTTTTTAACGGTTCCAACTCGTAATAAATACCCCCATCGTGCATAAGTGGAAAATCAATTCGCGAAAATAAAAAATTTGCACCAGAGGATGTGTTCATTGCGAATTGGCATGTTCGTATTGCAATATAATTTGGAAAACATATACATATTTGCCAACCCTTGGAAATGAGCAAATTTGCAAATGAATTTTTAAGCCCTTTTTTGCGAACTATGTAGAATGAATGCTTATTTCCTGTGTTTGTCACATACCTTTTTAGCCCCCAGGTACAGCAGAGCGGCAAAGGTGAGCCCTACTAATGCGACGCCAATCATAATCCACCAAACAATGGTTTCCACATCCGCTGGAAATAATTCATAATTTGAATAACAGTTAAAATTTCAGAGAGATTAAAAAGATAATTATCATACGGTCGGATAGCTCATTTTTCTCGTCATCTTCCTTCCCTGGGAGTTCCGTAACGTTTCCGTGCCCGGTCAAACCAAGAATTCCGGTCATCAAGGCGAAAGTACAGCTGAACTGGGAACAACAATTATAAAAAATCTTAAATTTCTGATCAAATATAATTTTTCATAATTTGCATACAATTTGAACAAATGCAACAATTTTACACGCCGTCTGCAACGAGATGCCGCAGTAGCACGGGTTAAAAGCCATGGCGTCGGGAGGAGGTGATGTCCACCACTAAACTAACTTTTCCGTTTCAAGGTTTTGTCCAAATATTTGGAGGAAAACACTCTTAAAAATGATATAAATTTGTTTAAACGTAAAAGCAGGCTGAATTCTAAATTAAGTAAACTGTTTAATTTTGAGTAACGTTAATTTGACCAAAAGTAAAGTTTCCTCTTTGAATTTGGGATAGTTTGCTTAATTTAGAATTCTGATTGAATTTGACTTTGTTTAATGGTGACATTATTTTTAAGAGTGATAGAATTTACCTGAATTAAATAAGTGTGATAACCCATTTCCGCAAAAATTATTAAATATGTAAAGTTAAGAAGTTAGAAAACGTCTGTATTAAGAAGACAGGATGTTTTTGCTCTTTAATTTTTGGTATTCAGGCGAATTATTAAATCGATTTAATAATGGATTCTCCACGTGTGGTTAAGTGGTCACACGGGTAAAATATCTAATTGTCCAGAATTACATACTTACATACAACTTTTAAAGTGGAAAAGTGCTTAAGAGAATTACCAAAGAAATGCTTACATACATATGTAGATTTGTAAGAAGACGTATGTAAGTATTTACATATGTATTTACATATATATATTTTCATATGCATACCTGAATCATGCTCAAGTGGAAAAGTTTTAAGTAAATACATACATAGGTACATACATATTTATGTACATAAAATCGTTTCCTTTAAGCAATTAAACCCAGTTATGTACACATGTGGGTGATATTGGTATCCATACATAGATAAAAGCCGTGGAGAAGTTCAAACGTTCCTGAAAACAGGAACTACATAATTGCATGGACTTCGAAATCATTGGATTTATGTAGCTGGTTGGATTTTTTACCGTTTAAAAAATGAATTACATTGGTTAATTTGTGTATGTATGTAACATTTTATTGAATGGATTGCATTAATCCACCTTGATGATGTATGTATGAGATGACTTATTTAATATTTAAAGATCAAACTATGCTGCAGACCTTCCTATGATAGGAAGTCCCAAGATGTTAGAGTTTAAAAGAAATATTTAGATATCTGTCCCAGGCTGCACAATCACGAGATTATCACCAATTTTTAACGAATCTGGCGACCCCAGTTTTCGTGTTAGCGACGTGGGAGACTGGTATAGATTTGGTGCTCAACTGGGTGCAAGTGTCGCGATTTTTAACGTATCTTATTCGTTCTAAACACGTGTTGAAGGAACGAGTTTCGCGACCAAATCACGAGAATAACCCCAAAAAAACACGTATTAAAAAGTGAAATTATACGTTCAGAACACGAGATTTATTTGCAAATTAGATGCGGGAATTATGATTTATTACTGACCATTAACATTACATAAAGTTTTAAATCCAAATAACAATAAAAAATTGTGAAAAAAATCAATTGTCTGATTCTGGTCCAGTATTTCTTAATGGAAGAGCTGCATTGGACTTCTCCAACTTTTTCCTAATTAAATAAAGTAAAAATTATGAAAGTTTTATAAATAGGTACAAATAATATTGCATTTTGTCCTACCTATCCGATTCAATACGCTTGTTGGAATTTTTGAGCCAATTTTTAATTGCTTCCCAAATCTCGTCGTCGTCAGCGTTGCCCAAGTTTTCCAGTCCTTGAATTGCCTCTGAAAACACAGCAATTTCATTGGTGAATTTAATTTAAAGGAGCGCATTATATATTTAATTAATTCACATACAACTAATTTACCATATATAATGTGCTTCATCCATGATTTTGAAAAAGGTGACTTCGGTCCTCTTGAACCAATCCAGTTGTATGACGATGCATACTTATCTGTCAGCAACTTGGCTAGTATCCGCTGTGTAGCAATCTTTACATCCTTGGTCGCACGTATGCCTTTCTGCAGTTCTGTAATCTGTCAAAGTTGCAACAATTAATATATGCATAGTTAAAAATAGCAACATGAATAATACTTATATAAATACTTATATTATTACTTATATTATAATACTTATATTACGCCACATGGTAATTCGCAATATTATTTGATAAATATTTTACCAATGTGATTCTTGATGCCTTGGCGAAATCCTCGAGTTTCTTCAAGTCAGACTCATCATCCACTGGTAATAAACCCACTGGAAACTTTTCGTTTTGACCACCCGTCTTGGTCCCCCAATTGTAATTGCTCACTAAAACGTCTACGCTTTCCTGTAGTTGTCGCAGTTGGGCTTTCATCACATTCATTTGACGTACCATCCACTTTTGGAATTCTGTAAAATACAAGTTATTTATTACTGAGACATTACATAAATTGTCACACACCTACCTAAATTTCCTGCGTTTGGTGACGTGCCATTATCTCTGCCGAAAGTTGTATCAATGTCCTCTGCCTGAGGAATCGAACGGCTTTCCAATTCGTGAGAGCTAGATAAAACTTGCTCGCTAGAGAGTGTGCCTTGGTATTGCTGTGAATTAGTTGGCGATGGGGGGTCACTCGGTCCTGGTAAACTTGATTCGTGGCCGTCTTCCTTTTCTGATTGCAAGCCCTCTCCCACTAAACCTGGATAAACAGTATTATTTATTATACTACTTTTTTGGTGCAATGGAATATAAAAAATGCGCGATTTTAACTTACTAAAATATTGTGGTGGTGGCGGTATTGTCCTCGTGGGAATAGAACGATTTTGCTTCATTTTGGGCGGTTCTTCTTCACTATCGGAGTCGCCGGGCGGTGGTAGATGTTTTCTTGTGTCGTTGCCCTCGACCAGTTACTTCCAAGTCGCTCTCAAATTCCGGATCAGTTTCTTCCAATGCTTTTCCAACATTATTTTTTGCTTGATTATAAGAACCTTAACAAACAAATAAACAGCATTTTTCTTTCTTATAAATAACTTTATCAATGTATGCAATAAAAAAGACTCACCAAATATTTTGCCTCCGCCTAAAACTTTTACGTCAAACGATAACCAAACTTGCTGATTTGGCGTGTCCCCATTCATGACGGCCTTCGATTGGCGTTCTGAAGATTTGTACGGCGGCCACCAACATTTATTTTTACTTGCTGACAGCCAATTGATTGGGATAATTTCTACCTCGTCAGTTTCAACAAAATGAACTATAGAGTACGGCATTGTAAAAAGTCACTGAATTTCACTGTGAATCAAGGGATAGCATATAAATTCAGTCTCAAATGGAAGTACTACACATTTTGATTCGATTAAATTAATATTAAATCTTCGTACTGCACTCAAGTCCGAGATAAGTTGAACACCAATTAAAGAAGAAGGAGAAGGAGATTGAAAAAAATCTTCACGTTTTTTAAACTTCTGTCCAAATAATTCTGAAGGTGATCCTCTAACAAAATGGTGAATTTTAATTATAGTTCCATCTTTTAGTTTGCAAAAATTGTTCCCTAATTTGTTGGATAATTCGAAATTTGCAAGCTTACACACTTTGAAACACTCGGGTGAATTAATGTCGACTTGGAAAAACGATACTTGACAAACTGGCTGCTTGAAAGAGGACAGGTCTATTTTTTCTCTTTCAACTAACCGCCGGTAAACTTGTTGCAAGGGGAGAGACGGAGATCTCACCAATCTCTTTATTTGTTGTAACTTATTTTCAAACGGGAAAGCACTAAATTGGTCAAGGGGACCGTGTCGAATGCAATCCCGGGATAAATGTAGTAAATTATGAAGATTATGACTGTTATACTTTTTCCCATATAATTCACCAAAGTTATTAACGAAATATATTAGTAGCTCTTGTGCATAATTATTTTTACTCAGATAAGTGTTAGGATTTGCAAGAATCGTGATGGCTACGTGGAAACACAAAAAATGCTGGTAAAATTGAGGAGCAAGGATTTTCTTCAAAACTGTGGGCCCAGTATATAAAATAAACTGTCTGTATTCAGTTGCTTTCTAGTGTTCGAGATCTCTAATTGAACGTGGTTTTCTTGAAAATTCTTTTGGTATTGAGGTTTTGATTTTTAGCAAATTAGTGGATAATTGGTCAACTTGGTAAGGACGCAGACGACCTGGACATTTTTTTCCTTTCACCCATAAAAATAGTAATTTTCTGGTCACTCCCAGGCACACAAGATGCATAAAATCGACTGGCACATCTTCTACTAAATCAATGGGTAGTAATTCTATTATTGAGGCTTGATTATGATGTGCTGTATCTAATTTTGATCGGAAATTTTCGTTATTTCTTAAATTATAATTTCCTGGTGGAAAGGTAACTCTATTATCCAAATATTCACCCTTTATGTCACACTTTCCACAAGAACTATAAGCATTATGACACTTTGTCCCCAAAATAAATGATCTTGCTGGGACGTCACACACAATTGCAGATATTTTAAGTTTTAAATTCGAAGATTGCTCTATGGTGTTGAATTCGTTGACAAACTGTCTCAAAAAATTATTAATATTTGTAGGTTTTCCAAAACCAGAATAAATTCCAATTACACCGACCTGATTATATTCTACAATTTTCGCTAAAATGGGCCAGAATTGTCTTGTGCTGCTTTTATAGAGGGGGATTCCGTCAATATTAATTTGAATTTTAATATAGTCTGCTGTTGGAACTTGAATTAACTTTTCGACGGATGAAATCCACTCAAAATGTACGTATTCGCCAGGCTCCACCTTTTCAATTGTAGTCGATCTTGGAGTGCATAAAAGTGTTCTAGGATCTTTCGGTAAATCAAAATTAGGATGTCGATTCAAAATTTCCAGCAGATCTCCTAAAGCAGAGAATGTAATGTTATGCTTTAGTGCCCACCCCCTTAAATCACTTGCACTACTTTCCGTATTAGACTGTTCAGAATCACTATCACTTAGATTTGACTGCGTGGATAAATTATTGTCAGAATAATCCGAGATGTCATCTGCTTCAAAAATCAAATATTCGGGTGATGGTGAACTCTGTGTGTGTGCCTCTGGCAAGGATGACGAGGGCAGCGGTATTATTTTTTCTGCACTTTCTGAAATTAATGCAAAATCCGAATTTCCTTGCCTTACTTTTCGGAATATTTTTCTTGATCGTGCTTTCTCCATTACTCATCTCGAACTAAAGAATTGTCCCTCTTTCTTTACAACGGAGAGAGCAGCATTTAGGTTTCTGTGACCAACAACACTAGAAATTCTCGTGAATTTCTGGTGTTCGAAAACACGAGTTTCGGGTTGTTGTAATTCTCGGGTTGTACATGTGTTATGAACGAGAAAATTGGTGATAAAGAATCCGTTTGAAAGTCGTTTTTGTAATACGTGTTACGAACGTGTTTAAAAAAATATTTACACGAATAATGCCCCAAACACGAAATTGACACCGGGGACACCAATAATACATGTGATTTTCTCGGTTGGTGCAGCCTGGGGTATATCTATGCAACTAAGAATGAGATGATGAGAAATTTGAGAAATAACATTTTATGTAACAGAGATAGTAAACCTAGGGCTGTATGTTGCAATCTCTACGCATTAGATATCATAACAAGAATTGTGCAAAGTTGTGTGTGTGTTACCTTTTGAACCAAGCGCTTTACTCGATGAGGTGTATCATATTACCCCATATTTATTTAAATTACTGGCCAACGCCACCTAGCGGCACTTTCAGGTACCAGGTTGCACTTCTTGCCGCTAGAGGGCGTTTTTCGCAGAAAGTGTCAAAACGTTCTCAAAACGTTCTGAAAGCATTTCACTTGATGATATGTATCATACTGCCCCATCTTTATTAAATTTGTTACCTAGCGGAACTTTCAGGTACAAGGTTTCTTTTTTTGACGCTAGAGGGCGTTTCCGCTGAAAGTATACAAGTTTCCAAAACGTTGTCTACCACTAGATCAAATAAGCACATCTGCAATTAGATGAGGCTTGACTTTTGATGAGGGCACACATGCTACAGATTACACCTGAATTGTGATCCTCTAGAGTCGACAACTGAACTTTGACCTGGGAACACCCTCAGAGTCGTCACGTGACCTTCTGACCTGGGCACACCCTCAGAGTCGTCACGTGACCTACTGACCTGGGCACACCCTCAGACTCGTCACGTGACCTTCTGACCTGGGCACACCCTCAGAGTCGTCACGTGACCTCTTGACCTAGGCACACCCTCAGACTCGTCACGTGACCTTCTGACCTGGGCACACCCTCAGACTCGTCACGTGACCTTCTGACCTGGGCACACCCTCAGAGTCGTCACGTGACCTCTTGACCTAGGCACACCCTCAGAGTCGTCACGTGACCTCTTGACCTGGGCACACCCTCAGAGTCGTAACGTGACCTCTTGACCTGGGCACACTCTCAGAGTCGTCATGTATTTCATATTGCCCGATAGTTATTTAAATTATCGGATAATGTTACCTATCGGCGTCTTGAGAAAGTTTTTCGCCACTGAAAGGTGTTTATCGCTGCAAAAGTGTAAAAACATTCGTAAAACGTTAACAAGCCAGAAGTCAATTTGGGGGCGGCGCCAATTTTGAACGATTTTTCGGCGACGCGGCGCCCCACTGTTATAGGAATATGAAATCAGATTTGTCGGCGGGGGCGGCGGGTAAAATGCTACCGACTTCTGGTGGCGCGGCGGCGTACGATCGGCGGCGTTTGTAGCACACCTGTGATCTGGACACACCCCTACAGACTTGGTTTGACATTTCAACTGGCTGTGATTTAGGCACCTTAAAGTGATCACGTGACCTGCGACGTCGGCACAGACACGTAGAGATGTAAAACGTGTTCCATGACTTCAACGCTTTCTGTCGTCATCTAACCTTGCTCTGGGCTTTCGTCCCTGCAGAGGTATAAGGTGGCTATCTCAGATTTTTACCTGAGTAATTGTAAATTGTAATGCCACACAAAGTTCCATTATTTAAATGTCTGCTAAAAAATGAACAAAAAATGAACAAAATGCAATCAATTTAGAACAGAGAAGATATCTCAACAGAATTTAAATTTTTAACTTTGTAGTCAATTTTAATTCTACTGAACTAAAATTTGTGGAGTTGTATTAGGGATTAGGGATAAATTATTAAATTCTTAAACTTGGGATGCAAGATTAAGCTTAAGGACTAATTAATCCCAAATCTTAATGTCAATCCTTAACCGTCTATAATGCTAAGAGCCCGCATGGCGGGCTTCGGAGACTAGTGTGGAATAAATATGTGTGACTAGGTTCGGAAAAACCGGTACATGGTGTTGGACGAGTTGTCGCAAAAATCAAAACGCTCTTACACGTGTCTAATAGAATCAAAAATTAAGGCACGTGTTCGCGCGTTTTTTCTCAAAGTGCCCCAAATTTTTCATTTCGCCCCAAATACTGGGAAAAAACATTCTGACGCTACAAGTGCGTTGATTTATTCCAAACTTGACATGCAAGCCGTATTTGGGATTGCCCACAGTGCCTGAGAGACTTGGCCACCTAGGTTGAAATTTACAATGCCAATTACCTGACAATTTCGACAATTTTTTTCGTTTTTTCGACGTATTTTCGAAATTTATGAAATGGTATCTTTCTGGCTTCATATCTCTACAGAAACCCTATATTCTGCTTCGAATGCCGTTTCGTTGAACCTCATAGCTCAAATATTAAGGGTACTTTGTAGGAAGATCGATTTTGATTGAAGTTCCCACGAAGTAACCATAATGCTAATTTTCTCTATTAGTTTCAGTTCGATTTACCCAAACTTTTGATATGTTGTACATATTTAGTAGTCAAACAATCGTCAGTTGCAAAAATGTGGAAATCGACCGGTTTGATCCGTACGGTTTGATCCCGAGAGCCGATTACCACGCAAATCAAAAATTAGAAGTGGGTAAATAAGAAACTTAAGTCGTCTTAATTAACCCTTCTACCTCGTCAATCAACAATGCAAATTATTATTTTCCTCAGTAGGAAGACTGTCCACTCCGTGGCAGCGGGGCGGATTACCACCCTTTGTACCATATTCGGTTCTGAAGAATTAATAGCTAGAAATCATTCTACAATGTATTCCACAGAATTTCTCCCTTTCGTCGTGAAACATTATCGCCATTGTCGCAAAGTATTCAAGTATTACCCATTCCAGTTCAACGCAAAGACGAATCGATTCGTTAAAATTACAAATCGTCATGGGAGACGAATGTTCAAATTGTTGTTACTAGTTATGCTAGGATATTCGACGACGATCTCTTTAGCCTTGGTCAGTGGATCGTTATCGACGGCCAAGAAGGTGCAAGGGGTGGTTTTCGCCTTAATATACATTCTAATTACACTCTGCGTTTGGAATTACAACTTGGACAAGGCCCAAATCCAAGTAATAAATTCTTGCTTGGACTTCGAGGACAACATTATGCGAGGTATTGCAAATTATTGTTTGATTATTGAAACGAGAGATTCGTCGTCATGCGATGCTTGCAATCAGGTTGAGATAATCTTAATTTTAAAATACGAATTAAAACACCCCGAATTTTGTGAATGACCCGGAAACAATTAGTAATTCAAAAAGCACACCAAACCTAAAACTATGAATATAGTTTGCGATTTGAATTGAATATCTGAAATTATACATCTGATCCAGGGGAAGCACCTCTGGATCGCACGCTGCAGACAAAGGCGATGCTCGCCTTCTACATCATACTGGATCACAGCTACTACCTGATTCCCGTGGCTGTATTTGGCCTAATTCTCGTCAATCCTTGTACCCCTCCCTTCATACTGTCTATGTCAGCGGGATGTTCAGAAATAAGCTGGTGTGGGTGGGTCATATTGATCCCTGTGCTGGAAATGTATCTTTCCTTGTGCTTCTTCTACGTTGGAACGGCATCCATCGTCTACAACCTCTTTGCGGGGATCAGTTCAATCTTGAACTACTTCCAACTGTTGGACAGGTACGAAATATTTCCCAAGGTTTTGTCGACTTAATAAATTTTTGTTTAATTATTGTTTAGAAAAATTTTGGAGTCAAACTCACTAAACGAGCAGGAATTCTGTGTCAAAGCATACCGCATGATTCAACTGATTGAAAAATCAATGAACGCATATCTCATGGAAAGGATTGTACCAACTTTGGTCTGTACGATACCAACGTTGCAAATAATAACGCAATATGTGTGCATCACGATGCACGGGGAAATTGCAATGCCGGTATTTCTGATATTTCCCTTGATTCTGGTGGACGCCATAGCTTGCAATGGTTTGGTGTTCACCTTGGCTTCCTGGGTGTTCAATGCTTCAACCAAATCGCTCAAAGAACTGGATACCACGACTTCGCAACATGTGAGGAAATCCGTCTTACGAAGACAGTTGAAATCTTGTGGAGTCTTAAACATCAAGTTTGGATCGAATTACATCGACAGTGGGACACCCTTGGTAATTCAGAATTTCTGCTCGAGTCAGACCGTGTCTCTGATGCTGGTCATGTCGGGGAGACGTGATGCTCGCAAATACTGAAGGATTGGTCTGCGCAAAACATAATTGTAGACCAACTAAATATATGTTAACGTAGTAAAAATTAACCGTTTGTAAAATAATGTAGTTAAGTCTTGGTAACGTCAAATGTATTCAAAAATATCTACGAGTGATACGCAAACAGGTCTATGAATAAGTTTGGCATATCATTGGGTTATCCTAATCAGCTATGGATAATTATTGAAATAGTTGAAATTTCCTTGATATAGTGAGGGTCACTCGAATCGATAGTCGCACTTTTGATTGGATTGAATATTTGTGTATTTAATGACGTCCTATGCTGGGTAACTTTTGTAGGTCATTCATTATGCTGGCTTGTTGTAGAAATCGCGTATTTACGTGACATTTGGAATAGATGAAGCAATACGTAAATAAAATCTTTGGCACAACTTGATAATAAGCATATTTCAGATAAACATGCAATTTGATCGCCGAAGCCACGCACATACGTTCATTTATGTGATTAATGATCGGGTAAAGATAAATTAAATTACGTGCCATGCTCTATCTTGGTTTTAAAGTTTGAACTTTAATTTATATGAATATGCAAATCAGTGGCAAATATTTTTTAGTATGACAAATTGTGTTTTTTTCGACAAATTTTGCACAAAAAAAAACAATTTTCTATGATTGGAAAATTTGACTACACTATAAATGTATACAGAAAAACTTTATTCATCTTTACAATAATATTTGGGCAGGGCTACTATTTGAGTACGATCACTATTTACAAAATTTTGAAAATAGGCACGGCTATTATTTGAGCACGGCTACTATTAGAGCAACGGCTACTATTTGAATTTTTACGGTATGTAGCGTTAGGGTACGGGATTTTTCATAATGCTCGATTTAAACAAATTCAAGTGGCCGAAAATTCGCATTTTTCTTGTGAAGTTTTTCTTTTTTTGTTTTTGAA